CTGCCTGTTGGCTGCACCGCAGTGCCAGTTTTTCTCCCGACTCGTTTTCGCAAAGCGTCCTCCGCTGCTCTCAACTGTGCGGAGGACGAAGAAGAGATTTTATCAATCAGTCCAGGGAGATGAGCAAATGACTCCAAGATGTGATTGGTCCTCTCATATGTTGTTGTCACCGTTTGATAAGAACAGTTTTCGGTTTGGGGTTTACTTCCTGGTTGATCTGTAACACAGCGATGTTCTTGTCACACAAATTCCATCTTTCGTAGGGACTTTTCCTACCCGAAAACATTTGTTGACGTGGTAAAGACACTCGAAGGTGGAGTGGACGCAGTTTATTTAGTTCAGGGGACGGACGCCGTTTTGCTGATGCAAGTGCCAGCAGCCATAGTCACCGTCTTCTCCTCTATTTTGAGTTCAAGCGTGACTGCAAGATGTCAGCATTCTTCCCATTTTCCTGGACGGCGTCTGCACCCCCCCGCCCCCGCCCCATTCCTATGTTTTTCCCATGGCTCCACCCTCTAGCCACCTGACCCTCCGCAATCCAATTAGACTCACTGTAGGTTGAATGTGCCGACGAACTGTGACTACTGAGCAGAGTCTGCGCGCGCCCACTGCCCCCTCCCCGTGTGTCTTTGCCTGCCTTTCTCCCTCCCCTGGTCGATCTGCTTTCATTCAGATTTGCCCATCCCATCTTCAGTGCCTGCGCCGCGTCCCTCCCCTCCCTCGTTCTGTCTTGTTGCCTTTACTGCTGCCTGCCACCAAACGTCGTCGCGGCTTCCCTTCCGACCCCCGCCCCTCCTGCATTCGGAGCTCTTCAAAGCTGCCTAGCGCACACTCGCACGTAGCATAACACACCACTCTTCAGTGTGGGGGAACAATGTCAGCTCTTCTGGATCTGGACCAGATTGCATGCTCTGGGAATGGAGTGGTGAGTGACAAATTCCTCTCGAGACACCTGACGGGATGCTCGCATCTTAGTAGCTTGGGGTTTTGCCTGCCACTGGGATGGGTTGATATGATTTTTTTCCCCCCATAGACTCAGCGAGAGCAGCTGGGAAGGACGAAGCTCTCGGTGGTCCTTGCGGGGAAACAGCCGACACTTTGTTTTGGGTTGGGTTTTTTTTCCACGGGCAGCTGCTAGTGTAGAATGACCATTTGGCATGTGTCTGTTTGTGCGTGACCATTCTTGGAGTCAGCTCAGCCGATAAAATGCCAAAGATGAAGATGGTGCGCATGTTCAATTCAGTACAAGTAAAAGATGCGGACGTGCCTGCCGGGAAGTCGAAGCACAGGGTCACGTATGTTTGGGTTCATGTCTGAGGCCGCGTGCGTGTTTGGTGTCAGTGCCACGTGCATGTTTTTAATACTGTTTTTTTTTTTTTTTTCGGGTGAGGGGGTGCTCTATTTTTCCCCCAAAAAAGCAGGGAGGTCACACTTCCCAACACACTGTAGCGACTCCACACTCAAATCCAATGTAGCGGCTTCTTCCCTCACCCGCAGGGACCTTGAATGTGGCCTTTGAAGCTTTGATGACAAACGCTTACTGTCCGTGCTGCAGGTTGAACGATTGTGTCGTTGGCGACGACAGTAACAAAGTGTTCTTCTCGTATTCATCCTGTGGTGTGTGTGTGCACGTGCAATGTGTACACATCATTTGGCAGTTGCTGACCGGCCAGGTTTTCTGCCTTGTAACGCTGCTCCCCGGGGGTGATTGATATCATTCCCGGCAGGGTGGGGTGAGCAGGCAAGGGGCGGACCGATAAGAGGAAGAAAGGAAAGCATGACATACCGCTTTTATTCGGCTCCACGTCTTCACCTTGCAGTTGCCTGTAACAACCTCCTGAACCGCAAAGCCGACGTGTGTCGGGCGGGCTCGTCGCTTTCCATTTGAAAAAGGCCCCGGAAACCAAAAGCCAATGCCATCTTCTGCTCATTTTTCCTCCGGAGCTGCAGCCAAACAGCCCCACCCCGAGTTACGTTTTGCCCATCATGATGCCGCACAGTGTCTTGGACAGGAAATGGTTCGAGACGACGCATCTGCCGGATCGATAGTGCTTCGAAACTTAAACCTTGCCAAGAGCTAAATGGGCATGGCTGCTTTGAGCGCTTCGCCGACACTTGGATTACCGGAGCAAAGAAGAAGACTTGACTTCTTTCAGCAGATTGCAAATATATCAGAAAGAGTTTACGCTGTCGCTATGTGTTAGCACGCCGCCGTAGCCCCAAGGCGCAAATGGCACGCACGGGTCGTCCGTTTTCCAAACCCTCAGAATTTCAGCCTTTTGTTGTCAGGTTTCTGTAGTCTCTCGAGAAAAGCAGATTTACTTTCTGTGTGTTGAGTCAAAATGAAGTCAATGTTTTGTGCCGATTTTCGGACATGTTATGGACCAAGACAGTAACCGTATTATTACGCTAATGGCTAGTTGCAACCCGAACTTTATTCCGGAAGGCCCAAGGCCCCAAGAAGGGAGGAGAATTTCTTCATGTTTTATGAGAGGTTATATTTAGTTCGGTAGCTGTCCAGACGCTCCCCCCATTCCCCCCCCCCCCCCACCCACCCCCCCCCCCCCCCCCATGTCATTTCGTTGCACGTAATTGAGTCGACCAGAGCGTGGCGGTAACCCCTTGCAGGCGAAGTGGAAGGTATCTCATTCACTGGAGCGCCGTGGATGTGTCCATCACTCATTTGCCCATTTCAAATGACTGGCGCCTTGTCCTTGAGGCCCCTGACCGCTAACCTTCAGCGTCTCGGCGGAGCTCGCGAGCCACATCCATCGTCTCATCGCATTCGGACATTTATCCGGAAGGACGGCCGGCCGCGTCGACCTGTCTGTGCCCGCTCTTGTCTTCCCGGGGTGTTTGTCTCTCTGTTGACCAGGACGGGGCAAAGACCCGCCCGCCATTTCATGGACATCAGCTCTCAGATGTTCAAAGAAGGCCCAAATCCTCACCTGTGGCCACCTTCCGCACGGTTGAAGTCATCGTTTACATTCTAGTGTCTTCAAACCGCAAATGCGAATGATTGTGACTCTGATGCTGTGTGACTAAAGCCAGCGAGTCTTCCTTGTGCTCAGTCCCCCCCCCCCCAGAAAATAATGAACAGAAGGAAACTGGTGGGCACGCTCTCAATTTGAATGCACTCCGCAAAGCAGTTTTTGCTGTGTCATCCTTGCGTTTTCAGTCCTCACCGTTTTCTTGATGGAAACGGCTCACTCGGTGTTTTGTTTGTCCAAGGGCACAAGGGGACGCTTGGTGGAGAGGAGGCACGTGCTTTGCATCCTTAAAAAGACACTCTTTAAATATGCAAATGCTCTGCGCCAACGGGACTTTTTCAATCATTTAGTCTGTTACTCCGAGACGAAAATCAGTCTTGCGTTAAGGTTTTATCCTAATGGAAAGGGGAATGTCCGGTAATGAAAGAATCATGTCCCGTTACTGGATTTTGAACATTTCCTCGTCGTTAGTTGCCTGCCTCACGGCAACCCGTCCGTGCGACTTGGCTGTAACGCCTCCGGTGTTTTTCACAACCTTTTAGTGCTCATCCTCGATCGCACTTGTTAGCTGTAGCGACGAGTTGCACGGCGAAATATGCCACCTTGGCGGTTTTGTGCCTGAAAAAGGCCTCCATTTTGTTGTGTGCGGGAGTCCGTGGGATTGATTGGGAAGGCAGTGGAGCAGCAGTTGGGCACACTTACAGAAATGCAACCGTTTTTTTGTTCTTTAAAATCCAATTCATTTCCAAACTCTGCCCCAACCCATTTGTTGCTGCAGGAGCATGACATTGAGACTCCTCACGGCGTTCTTCATGTGACAATGAGGGGCGTTCCCAAGGGCAACAGACCCGTCATCCTCACCTATCACGACATCGGCCTCAACCGTGAGTGAGCGGAACCTTCGGCGGATGCGATGCCGCTTTGTGAGCCCTTGACTGATTTGTGTCCGCCTTTCCAGACAAGTCGTGCTTCAACACCCTGTTCAACTACGAGGACATGCAAGAGATCACGCAGCACTTTGCGGTGGTCCACGTGGACGCGCCCGGCCAGCAGGAGGCCGCGCCCCCCTTCCCCAGCGGGTACGATAAGCGATAAGTTGTCCGTGCGTTGAGCAATGGAAGCGCATGCTCTTAGTCTCCGAATTGCGTCGAAACATTACCCGTGAACTCGACTTGCCCGATCCATCGGGCCGAGGGCGGTCGCCGTGCTCGTATGTGATCGATCGGCTGTGATCATCTGCCCGCAGCTATCGCTACCCAACTATGGATGAGTTGGCTGAAATGCTGCCGTCGGTGATGACTCAGCTGAAGTGAGTAGCCCCGGATGAGAGCTGATGCGCAGTCGTGAGTAACGGTCTTCAGTCTCGCTGTCGTCGCCGCTGTCCCCGCAGGGTCAACAGCGTCATCGGCATCGGCGTGGGAGCCGGAGCGTACGTCCTCTCCCGCTTTGCCGTGAGTCCCCGCATCCGTCCGCCTTGGTTCTTTTCTTTTTTTTTTCTTTTTTTCCTTCCGATTCTCTCAGCCTCCGGCCACCTCCCGTTAGCGGCCGTATAAATCAGTCACTTGCAGGCCACGCATCTCGTTTTGCCGAATAGCCGGCCGGCATCCCCTGCGTTCATCCCACGCAGTGCGGCAAGCTTCTGCAACAATCTGTCGATCTGAAGGAATCGCCCCGGCGCTTTTCTGTTTCTTTTTCCCACCTGAAGCATTAGCCCCCAAATGAGCGTAATCTGTGTTCATAAAAATGAAAAGAAGTGGAGCAGCAGAAAAGAAGATGGAAGGGGGGGTGATGGAAGGGAGCGTGTTGAGGCTTAGAAAACAAGTGCTGCGGGCTTCAGGAACTTCGCAGCTGCTCTCGTCTTGTTAAGAATGAATGAGGAAAAAAAAAAAGAGATTTGCTTGAACGGACAAGGAGCAAAGCCCCCCCTCCCGGCCGGCAAAGAGTCACATCGTCTGTGGCAGCACATGCCATTTGTACTTGGGTGAGCTTCCTCCCCATGCGCTATTTTGCCACCAAACAATAGATGTTCAATTTCCCCCTGGCATATCTTCACGTAATTGCTGCAGCGCTTTCAAGGGCGTACGATTGCACTGTGGATATTTTAGCAGCATTGCGACAGTTACGGTCCAGTACCAAAATGCCAAATCCCACTTTGATTAGCTCCGCTCTAGCTAGTTTTTGTCCCCTCAATGTACAGAGTTGCAAATTTGTCCAAATGCTCGACTCTACTCAGGGTGGTGCTCCAGTCAAACCTCGTTTCAACGTACGCTGTTGACGCCATTTGCCGATTTTGCTTCCAGCGAACACCTTTGTCACGTCTACGTCATTCTAACGATCAGAAAAGGGAAGGGAACTGCCGCCTCGACCTTCTGTATGACCAAAATGTACAGCCCGATTCCCCTCCGTTGCTTAGCAACGCTGCCGCGCGACTCGCTACATTTTTGTACTTCCGGAGGCACGGTGCACATGCTCTGAAAACACAGCCGGTAAACAACTCTCGCCGTCTGCGGAGGCTGAACTTGTCCCTCACTTTCAAAAGGGAGTCTCCCAGACGTCGGCGGCACTAAAATCTTTTTCTTCATATACACACCTTTGTAATTGACGTGTTTATACGGTAGCACATGTTCACGTTTTTCCATTTATAAATGTTCAGCATTTATTATACATGGTAGTTGGCGGCCATTTTATTGGAAGTGGCTCCGGCGACCGACCGTGATAAGGTCCCGATTCGCGATGTCCCTGGAGGTACACGTTGTAACGAGGTTCGACTGCGGTTCCACAAGAGCCTTCACCCAAAAGAGTGGACGGCATCCCGCTCTGTCCAAATCAATGGTCCTCTTTAGCGTCTCCGCTCTGATGCGATTTCTTCCCGTTGCAGCTGAACAATCCCACGCTGGTGGAGGGCCTGGTGCTCATCAATATCGACCCGTGCGCCGAAGGCTGGATCGACTGGGCCGCATCAAAAGTTCGTATGATCGTCCTCCCCTTTGCAACAATTTACCAGCCATCAACTGTCACTTGACTGTCGCTTGCGAATTTCTCTTTTCATACCATATATGGTCCTCATCATGTCGACTAGATTCCGTGTTCAGAGTTCAATGGTTCTTGCCTCCAAAAAGCAAAGCTAGAAATGCTTTTCCTCTTCACATTTAGTGTTTTAAAGTCAGGCCTCTGATATGATGTTCATTCATTGGAAATGAATGTCCGCCTCCCTTTGTTTGACGGCTTTCTCGTGTTCCGCAGCTATCCGGATGGACCAGTAACCTGGTTGATATCGTCATGGCTCATCATTTCAGCAGCGTGAGTTTCTGCAACGCTCTGTGGCTTGCTTTTTGTTTTACCCCCAAGTTCGGCTTACAGCTCCATTTTCCTTGAAGCGACGGAGGCCCGCGACGCGAGCCCATCCATTCATGCTGCAAGCCAGCAAATAGTTGGACGACGGCATTTCACGGCCGTACGGCGCACCGTATTCAAAGGCATAGCGTCAGTTAACGGGTGCTATTTCTCGAGTTAACACGTGCACAAGACGCATTGTAATCGGTGCAGATACATAGCGGACCCGCTTTATGAGGCGCCCGGTCCACTTTGGCGAAAACATCAGACTTTTAAGTGCGCCTTTTGCTCGTGACAATGCGGTCGTTCTGATGTACTCTGGCTGAGGTCACTCTCCATTCCACCGCATGTCCTCCTTTTCTTATCTGTCGTTTTCGTGCTGCAAATATAACCTACTCGACTAAATTTCCCAGGAGAGCTTCACTCGGCCTCGCCGGTAGACACGAGCCAATTTTTCTCTTTCTGCCGTCTCATTACTTGTATGCCGACGGGACAATTCTCGACATCCTCGCTTCTTTTTTGCTTCGCGCTTAGTTTGCCCGTCTTCTCTGCTGCCTTAGGATGAGCTCACCGAAAACCAGGAGCTGATCCAGACGTACCGGCTCCATATCGCCCAAGACATCAACCAGGACAACCTGGCCCTCTTCTGCGGCTCCTACCAATAGTATGATGCCCGCGTGTTGTTTTCGGGGCGACGCGACCGTTTTAGTCAGGCAACCCACCTCTCCCCCCCGTTTGTGTTCCGCAGTCGCCAGGACCTGGAAATCGAACGGCCCATCGTAGGTTTGAACGAGAGCACCGTCAACACGCTAACGTAAGCCGTCGTGGCTGCTCTTGTCCCAGTTTCATCGGACTCGTGTGATTTTTAGCCTTTGAAGACGACATTTTTGTCGTTTCCAGGTGCCCCGCTTTGCTGGTGGTCGGTGACACGTCGCCTGCCGTGGACGCCGTGGTAAATGACACGCCGGCATCTTTGTGACCAAGCTCCAGGATTTCCAAAAGGAGTTCTGGTTGATTTTTGTTTTCGGTTTGGAAATCATCCCAAATGTTGCTCTTTCTCAGGTGGAATGCAATTCCAGGTTAAACCCAACAAAGACCACCCTGCTGAAGGTGAAAACTTTTACCGGTGCCTGTTGTTTTGTTCAGCGTGAACCTTTTTCTTGTTGTTGTTGTTTAACACGTTAGCTCTCGTACACCAGCTTCAATTTAGTATGTCGCTGCGCAATAACCTGCATTCTGACTCTCAACAGATCTTGGGAAGCAACCAAGTCACCTTCCATAAAAACTGAATGCACTTTTTTTTTTTTTTAGCTCATCATAAAAGTGTCAAAAAAATCAAAGCTGATAACAGTGAAGCGTAAAAAACATACTTAGTGTTCTGCATTTTGGTACCCATCCTGTTTTGAGGAAGTACCAACTTTCGACGTTTTGAAATCATTAACTCATTCACTCCCAAAAACGTTTTTAAACGTCTTTTCAGACTTGGTCTAGAATTGGCTGGTACTGAATGAGTTAACGGTGTCGTTTTTTTGGGGAAAGTGGCGTAGGAATACGTCATCGTGCGGCATAAGGCTCGTTCCTTTCTGATTTGTCCTTGATTCTTTTAGATTTGTGGCCAGGGTGTGTTTTTCATTCCAATGCTTACTGTCATTGACTTTTACGCCTTTTCGTGGTCCTTTGCGAGGCACATCAATTGTCAAGGCACAAGATGACATTGAAGTGACTACTTAGTGAATGCTGATGAACATTCATGTGTGTGTTTTAATGCACCAAAGAAAAGGCTTTCACTTTTTACTATCCCAATTTTATTTCGCCTCATGACTTTGCTTCCAACTTTCTTGTCCTCGACTCGTTTCGGATGTTGCGCCGGTGGACGTGCTAACCAGCAGGCCCCCCCCCCCCCGATGAAAATAATCGCATTGAATTAAATGCAGTCTTTATTTTGGAAATTTAAGAGTAAGACATTTAGCCCTTCCGATGTCTCTGACTCGTTTCTGACCATTGTGTTGAATTCTTTGTGGCGGTTGACTCAAAGCGATGTCGTTTCTCAATTGTCTCAGATGGCCGATTGCGGAGGCTTGCCCCAGGTTGTGCAGGTACGAGTTTTGCTTTTCGACAAACACCCCCAGGTGTCGTTGCTTCATTTTGGCTCCTCACCTCTCTGTCACGTTATCTCCCGACAGCCGGGAAAACTTGCTGAGGCCTTCAAGTACTTTGTCCAGGGAATGGGCTACAGTAAGTATGCGCCTCTTCCATGTTCTGCAAACACCCATTCAAATCAGCAAAAATGAAGCCCACCGCCTCTGACGTATGTGCGGCCGGAGTGTACCTCGGCGCACTCGCTGTTGTCTTCCGGAACGTATTGAGTAGGATCGTTTGTCCCCCTCCCCGCGTCTTGTAGAGTGTTGCTCAACAGCCCCGATGACGCCTTTTTCCACTGCAGGCACCTTTTTTTATTTATTTATTTTTTTGAACTTTCTGTGTCTGCCTGGTCACAAATGGCGTGCAGGCTTTGCTGCCTGCACGCCATCAGACGCTAACGTGGTTTCCCTTCTGCTCTCCGTAGCGTTCGGTAGAACGGCTCACTTTCAGGAGGTGAGGCGTCAACTCAAAGAGGGCAATTGTCTCGGGTGTTTGTCTGCCGTGCTTTCTTTTTCTGTCTCTCGTTGCCGTGCGGTGTGAAACGCCCCCCCCCCTGCGAGTGTTGATCTGTCAAAATGAGACAAGTGAGATGTCGGTGTGAACGGATGCATTCTGACTGATCCAAGCTCAGAACATGCTAGCAGCTCAACTCCACGTTGAGCTCTTTGTCCTCACTTGTATGCCGACTGTCCTGTACACTCGCCGGACCCGATTTTGCCCTTTTAGCAAAGTGCCCAAAATAGAAGACACTTGCACATGTTGTTGTTTTTCACGACGGTGCGAGAGGCAGCCCTCCGGTGCGTTGCCTGAAATGCCATCCGGTCCTCCTGTTGAGCAAAAGGCCACCGTAGGATTAGTTGAGATTAAAAGGAGTGTTTCCATCCTGAGGAAGGCTGGAAAATAAATCCCAACACCTCAGCGTGCTCGCGAAAGCTACTTTGTCCTCATTAACACGCCACCACTGTGGGAAAAAGCCACAAAGTTGGAATGTCGGCCAGGAAGGGTGGCGGGGCGCAAATTTGCACTTGTTTAGTCTTTCTTTTGGGTGTCCGATACGCTGAGTCAGCAATCTGCTCAAAGGTGGACTGAACCGAGAAAACCTTTTGAACTTTTCTTCCTCTTTCTGTCCTCCTGGAATCATCATCACCTCCAGTCCCTTATGTCCTTCTCAGTCACCTGAGCAACGAATCAGGTACCGGGGCCTTCCAAAGCTCTCCGACTAGAAAGCTTTGAAGCCTCACAGCACCCCGCGGTGGATGAATGGCATGCAGAATATACACAGAAATCCTGTTTACCGCACTGTGGTACTCATTATTATTATTTTTTTAATCTGGCAGGATTTCTGGCATACTTTGGTGCACATTTGTCCCCCCCATAGAAGACTACTTTAGATCCTTTAGCATGGATTTATTTCTTTTTCTTTTTGCATGACTGATGGTATTATTTGATTGCATTTTGTTGTCGTGATACCTCAAGATGTTTTTCAATTTTTTTTTTGTTCTTGTTTATTTTCCTCAGATTCGCAAATTGTTTGCATGTTTGGCACAGCACTTTGTTAGTGCTACTTTGCTTCTGAGTGTCTCCTGTTTACCGCACTGTGGTACTCATTATTATTATTTTTTTAATCTGGCAGGATTTCTGGCATACTTTGGTGCACATTTGTCCCCCCCATAGAAGACTACTTTAGATCCTTTAGCATGGATTTATTTCTTTTTCTTTTTGCATGACTGATGGTATTATTTGATTGCATTTTGTTGTCGTGATACCTCAAGATGTTTTTCAATTTTTTTTTTGTTCTTGTTTATTTTCCTCAGATTCGCAAATTGTTTGCATGTTTGGCACAGCACTTTGTTAGTGCTACTTTGCTTCTGAGTGTCTTTGATTTTGACAAATGTCTTCTTTTTTTTTTTTTTTTTTTTTTTTGTGGAACTCTCTCTTTCCCCTCGCCCAGTGCCGTCGGCAGGAATGACTCGGCTGGCTCGCTCGCGCACCGCCTCTTCTTCCAGCGCCACCTCCATGGACAGCAGTCGCAGCCGCCACAACTTGAACAGCCTGCTGGAGAACAACGCCCCCGCGGCGCTGGAGCGCCAGGCCGCCCCCCAGACCATGGAGGTGTCCTGCTGAGGTCGCCGTCCGTCCGGGCGCTCCCTTCGTAACTTATGTGCCCTCTCGTACACTCAATTCAATGCCCGCAGGTTCCGGAAGGAACCACGTGATTTAGAAGATGATGTAGTAATCTCCATAGATCCCGAAACAGAAACCTCTTGTTAACTCTTCTGTTGTTAAAAGAAAGACATTCCTTAACCGTTACTACCACTACATTCTTGTATATCCACAGGTGACAGGTCGCTCACCTGACTTGTATTTATTGTTTTTCACCCATCAGTGTTGTTCATATAGTGTTGCTTTTGTCATTGTATGCTACACCATCTAAAGATGCTGCCTCCATGAATTGCGAGTCGCGCTTGAGTTGTGGATTTTTATCGGCAGACTGGACTGCAAATTGTTGCAATGGGATGCAGTGTGCAGTGAGCGTGTAAACGCCCACAAGTGGTTAGCCTTAATCTCATAACTGCCCAGGTACTTTCGAAAATTTTGGGGGGGGAAACAAGAAAACAAATTCAACAAACAGGAAGAGTCCAGTTGCCTCGAATCAACCTTTGCAGATTCCAGGACCCTCTTGACTGAATCTACATTAAAACACACTCTTTTTTTAGCAAGCACTTTGTTTTTTGTTTGGGTTTTTTTTCCCCCCCCACCTCTGTTGTGACAGTAAGTTTAACGTGACTTGTCCAATCATGCAAAATGTAGCTGCAGAATGAAGGTTGCAATACGCACTTCAACTAAACGGTACATGCCAGCCAAATACAGCTTGAAGTAACGTTTAGTGCACGCCGAAATGTGTCCGATTGCCTCTTGAAACTCATTTACACTAAATTTGTCCCCCCTTCCCCATTTTATTTGTGCACTGTGTTGATTTGTCATGTGGCCCGCGGGTTTCTCTCACTTGTCTGCTGACTTTTACTGACTACTCAATAAAGAGGTAGAATATGAACAGCAGCTTTTGGTTTTCTGTGCATAGAACTGTCAGCATCATTTAAAAAGAGAAATTGTAGTATAGTGATTGCTGCCACTGCAAGTGGAAAAAAGAAGGTGACTGCGGTGAATCGTTTTCAAGCCGCAGTTATTTCCGCAGCGCCTTCACCACCTTTGTCACAAATGAGGGTGACTATATTTAGCAGAGCGTTTGGCTTTTCTGTGAAACACATCTGATAACCCCGACTCAGGTGTCGTGTGGCGATCCCTCTGAAATTCACAATCCGATGTCTCATTGAGTTTATTTGCACGGTCCCTTAGCAGATCTTTCGTCACCTCACGAAACATTGCGTAGAAAGTTTTTGTTGTCATAAAGTTGCAATTGAAACAGAGACACCAACGCAAAGCGTCAGGGTGTTGTGGGGAGCTTGAACATCACACAAAGCTGAATTGGGTTTCAGGTTCCTTTTTTTCTTTTTTGAAAAATATTTTTGCAGACTTTTTTTTCTCTTTTTTGTGGGGGGTGAAAAGAAAAAATCTGACCGAGCCGACAGTTTCGGCTGTCGCTTCGGCCTTCGTTGGAGCTTTCGCTGCTTCCTTGTGACGTATCTTAAAAATAGCTGACCGGGTCAGGGAAACTTCAACCCCAAACCGTCAGCTAAAGAGTTTTTTTCCATTAGAAAAAAAAAAAAAAAATTGTCGGTGGGGGGGACCTCAAACCTAATTCAACCAATAAGAAGACCAGATGAGCATGACAGCGCTAACACACAAAGCTAATGCTGCTTAAGACCGAAATATGCAGACAGACAAGCTGTACGCTGACATTTTTGTTGAATTTACTCCATTTTAATTCATCAATTGGTTTCACAAAATCAAATCCTCTCGATTAGATCCAGACACATTTTGAAGTTGGTGTATGGTATGGCCTCTTTTCAAAAATTAGGAGTACATTCAAGGCCACAGAGCAGTATGCAGGAAGCTACATTCATTACAAACAACCCCCCCCCCCAAACACACACACACACACATCACCACCACCTATTTGCAGCTGCAAGAACACAGCAGCCTTTGGTGGTTTGCACATCAGTCATTCCGACTGACCTTCTGCAGGTCTAAGAGAGAACGCGAGCTTCCGTTTATGTTCAGTGTAGCCCAGCGTGTATGCTGTAGGTGAGCCCGTTTTCATCAAGACGCCTCGGATGTGTTTATAGGGTTGGGATAACACCAAACATGCGGTGGCCTTATTAAAACGTTTTAATTTGAGGCTGGTAAGTAAGTACGCTCTAGCTTATATTTTTGTCACGATTAGAAGTGTGTCGCCCACGCTTCTTGGCATGTTTTGGCTTCCGCAGTATGTCAGTAAATGTTGCGCACCCTGTTTTAGCCTGCCATGTGTTTATGGTGCTAGTAAAGTGGTGGATACAGTGAGAACTAATCAGATTACAGGGATGTGCTTGGAAGGATTTGAATGCCTCTTCCCTATCTCTTCGGAACAGTTGCTCCTCCAGACCAGCAGGAGATCAAAGAAGATGGGGATTTGCCCCTCCAGGTGCAGATCCAACCCGACCGGTTTTGAAAATCCGCCAGAGCGTCTTCCATCGGGTAGACGTTTTCCATCCACAAGACTCTCTCCTCCCACATATGCCGAAATGTGCCCGGTCTCCGAGGACACCTTGATTGTCTCCCTCCGCGACTTTCCATCATTCGGTAGCACAGAGTTGGTCGTGAGCATCGGGGAGCGACTTAGCATCATATCAGAGTATGTTTTTAATCCCTCACAATTGCAAAGTCACCCCACCACTTTCACATTAGCGGGTAAAAAATTCTCACAATAACATTTTTTTTTTTTTTAATCTCTTTAGCGATGGCGATATTTTGATGGTCAGGTCCACCAGCACAAGCCGAGAACTCTACATTCCCACCGACTACACTGCCAAGGTCACGCAAAGGTAAAATATGACATTGTTGTCATCGTTAAACCTTTATTAACTTTGCAGGCAAATGTGTATCAAGAAAAAAAAAACATTGACTAGCTGCTGTCTCCGGTTTCTCGATGCAGGTGGCTGTTCACAGGTATCGGCAGGCGCAAAGCAGAAGAGCTCCTCATGCAACCCCAAAATCGCATCGGAGGCTTCTTGATACGAACGTCGGAGAGGAAAGCAGGTTCGGGGGTTGTCTGATTCCTCTTTGGAACAAGTGCCATGGTGACTGCCCCTTTTTGTAACTTCCTTACTGCTGCGTCTGTGTTGTGATGGCTTTAGGCTGCTTTTCTCTGTCCGTACGGTGGCGAGTCAACGTTTTGTACTCGGATTGTGTAAAGCACTACCTCATCTCTCAACTCCAAAACGGCCGGGTCTACATCACTCCAACGCGCTCCTTCTGCTCTCTCAAGCACCTGGTGGACCACTATTCAGGTTTGTAGGCTCGGGTGGGATTTGCAACTGAACGGTCAATGGGTCCTTCCAGAATTGGGGGACACATTCTTGAAAATTAAGCCTTCACTTTTCTGATATTCTGCGACATAATCATCCGTAATAGGTCATAAATATCAACGGCTTGATTAGCTCAGCTTCCATCATCGGTACAATTTTGATTCCACGGTTTATTTGCGGTCGCTGAAGCCTGTCCCAGCTGACTTTGGGCGCAAAGCGGACTGCACCTTGAACCGGATCAGCAGTTAGTCACAGGACACATATGGAGACAAACAACCATTCACACCCACGTACACACCGTCACCTGGTGGGAACCGATCCCACGCTGGCCCCCCGCAAGACAGGCCAGTGGACCACGACGTCAGCAGTGATTTCATTTGAACTGTTTTATGCGAGATTCAATTTGGTTTTGAACTTCGGTCTGACCTGGATAGCAAGAGTAATATTTCTTATGTCCGGCGTAAGAATAAGAGGACCGGCCGTGCTTTTCCAGAGTCTGCGGATGGACTTTGCTGTCGGCTGAAAGAGCCTTGCTTCATTCGGGGTTTAAGCGTCCCCAGAGAGGACAGGCTTGCCGGGCCCGCAGCCAACAGGAAGCCCACCAACAACCGGAAGGACGTCAGCAGGTATGTGAATGTGAAAGTTTGGCTTCTACCATTAGTCTCAAACTCTGTGTGAGGCCCTGGCGGCACCAAACATCACATAAAGAGAAAACTGTCAAATGAGGATCCAGTCTCAAGTGCCATAAAGCACCACTTGTATTTCAGATCCATGATTCTAAATAGAAGGAGGACGGAGTCCGGCGGCTCAAAGTTGAGTGAGGGCCTGAGGGAGGCCATCAGCTCTTACCTCCAAATGACAGAAGACAGCAGTCACGGCTGGGACACTTGAGCGCAAAAGTTCCATCTGGCCACAAAGACCGCTATTCTTCCCAAGACCCTCGGCCGCACATGGAGCCGAAAATTTGAGACAGCTTTGATTTTACTTTTGACTGAAAAATCCTCTTCTTAATTCAGTCTTTACTGCTGTTTGAATGCTTTGTATGATTATTGACTGTTTATGATCATAGAATGTAGGCATGGGCTCATGTTTCATATGATAACCGTGAGTACAAAATATTGCGGTGTTACGCTAATTACAGCCCTAAAATGTCCTCCTCTGAAATATTTATGTAAATAAAACCTTTTTTTTCCACTGACCACAATCAATTTTAATTTTCAACAAAATATTGTATATTTGGTACATCAAGAAACATGTACCATCACACGTCAAGTTTAAATAAATAAAGACATAAACAAATGTCACCATTCTCCTGATGTTTTAATTATTCTTAGCAAGTCTCATCAATGATGGCATTTTTAGACACTTTTTCTGCTTTGGCCGAGCGTCATTGAATGATGCGACGTGCCAGATCGGGTCCCTCGGCGACTCGAGTGTGACACCTGCGATTTAGTGGCAAAATGGGAGTTTGACGGATTTTTCAAATGTTACTAAAAGTTTCCAAACGCATTTTAAAAGTACTTCTGTTTGTTCGGGTTTTTTGGTGAGTGGTTTTGCTCGCGTTACTGAATCAAGTGCTAACTTGGCGTTGTTGCGGTGTTCCCTATTCGGCCAGCAGATGGCGCCTAATTGCCCTCCAGGTTGATGAGAGCTTCCATCCACTTCCTGTCTCGGCAGCTCACTTCAGGAAGAAGAAAGAATGGCGACGCTCAAAGGGTCCGAGACCCAGTGCACGGGGGCAAAACAAAGACTTTGCAAAAGTAATATCGTGTTCAAGTTCACGGAGAGTAAAATCACAGGGCAGACTTTTAGTCGCGGGACACAGGTAAGCGACACCGTGTTGCGTTTGGACAGAAAAGACGTCGGAAAGTTGCTCGCCTCGAACCAGGGATTTGCGTTGCGGAGTGCTGCCTGAAAAGCAAGACGCAATCGGGCGGACGCGATTGGCGACGCGCCACCTCGCTTAGTTGAGCATTTGGCAGCGGGTCGCGACATTTGGGGCATTTCCTCAATGATCAACTAGAACGCGGGGCTCTCCTTCTCGACTTCCTGCTGATAGGGCATAAATGTTGGCGCAATCTTTTGTTGTTGGCACGCATTAGCTTAGCATTAGCAACAAGGAGGCTTCGGCTGACTGATGGCAGTTTGGCAAGTGTCACCGTTCTTGCGCGAAGCCTGTTTGCGAGCCGTAAGGCGGAAAAACACGGTCGTCTGCCGTTTCTGTTTCGCGCTGGGAGTAAACGAAAGCAGGCAGGCAGCAAACTAGCTTAGCCAGCTGAACGACTCAGGCGATTACGTAATGCCCACCGACCGCGATAAGAAAGGTTCCCATAAAAGGACACGCTACAACAGCTGTTTTGACAAGTTTAACTTTAGCGCGCTCGCAACTCCTCATATTTGAAACATCCTGCAGCCGATGTGCATCCCCTTGTATGAAAAAAGTTCAGAAGCTCAACACATGGCAAGCACATCGTGAGCGAGCACTTGATTAGGTACACCTGAACTATTTCGATACTCGAGTCAAGGGTGACAGGCGAGTCCGTACAAACACGGTTGCGTGTTTCGTGTTGGTAGGATGAGCAAGACGGCCCGAACCTCCCTATTTGCAGCGTCTTGAAAGCGACCGAAAGCAAAACCGCTGATGATGTGGACTGCTTCCATTGCTTGACTGCATGCGTTCGCCTCATTGTGCTGCGTAGCTTCCGGCGGGGCTCCTTCAGGAGAGAGACAAGCGGGCCAAGTGGCAAGGCATTCCCACTTTGCTCCAGAAGCTCTACCTGAACAGTCATCCCAACAGTGACCTTTCGCATGCCCATGGCCTAATTAAGGTGAGCCGCCACACTGTGCAGTTTAGTATTGTATGGAGAGGACTTTTCAGCTGAATCGGGGCTTTTCCGTTCGACATCCAACATGGCATGCCATCCCAGTGCAAAGTCATCTCCTGTACATTTATAGAAAAGTTGCTTACAGTTTGGATTTTATTAGCATTCATTTACAACTGTAATGTTAACTTCTGTTTTTTTTTTCCATTCTCAAATGTCCATTTGAGATGTTTGCGCTTGTGTGTGCTCCTGGTTTGAATGTCACCTTATGTGTTTCACAAGGTGCTATCGTCCCAGCTGTCCATGGAGGCCATGTCCTTTGTCACAGAGGAGAGAAAGTCTGCCCAGGAATCCACCTTTCCCAACACGCACACCTTTGACCTCTTTGGCGGCGTCCACGTAAGGTTTACGGGTCCCACCCGAGCGCGTTGTCGTGTCCGGCCGAAGACTCGGCAGCACAGCGGTAGCAAAGACTCCGAATGCTGACGCTCACTTTATTTCCTTCATGTAGCTGCTCGTCGAGCTCTTGATGAGACCCACGCTAACTATGCAGAAGAAAAAGCCCAAAAGTAAGAACGCTGTGCTTGAATTCCAACGGGAGGTGGATGGGAGCACAACTTATAATTAACAACTTGATTCTGTTGCAACAGTGCACGACGATTTGGTGAAAGACTGCCTGAGTGTTCTCTACAATTGTTGCATCTGCGTAAGTATCCCGAGTTGTGGCCTTCACGTCGACGGCCTTCGTTTTGGTGCCCCGCTGCGGCGCTAATATGAATCGCGCCATTGTTTGTTTGGCAGACGGAGTGGGTGACAAGGAGTCTGGCTGCGAGGGACGACTTTGTTCTGTTCCTTTTCACGCTCATGACAAACAAGAAGACCTTCCTCCAGACCGCAACGCTAATTGAAGACATACTTGGGGTTAAGAAGGTATGTTTTGACTGCCGCTGGCAAAATGAAGAAGGAAATAAAATAAAGAAATGGTGGCTTGATTCCTGATCCCCAATCGCAGGCGCCATCCATACCCTTCCATTTGTCTGTGCGTGGCCCTCAAGCGACAAAGTTTGTGCGTCCCTGGTCTATGGGAATTTTCCCAAAACCGGATATGAGATTTTGTTAGCGGGCAGCTTACTCGCTTTGGTTTGCCTTCGTGTGCGATGAATCGTCGGTTTCTCCACATATGGCGACACCCGCTATCCTGCGTACGCACACTGTCATGTCACGCCGCGTGTTTTCCCTTTTTCTAGGAGATGATCCATTTAGAGAGCATCCCCAACTTGTCCGGCCTGGTTCAGAGCTTCGACCAGCAACAGCTGGCCAACTTCTGCCGCATCCTGTCGGTCACCATCTCCGAACCCGACTCGGGCAACGACGACAAGCACACGCTGCTGGCCAAAAATGCCCAGCAGAAACGAAACTCGAGTCCCTCGCGTGCGGAGGTCAATCAAGGTAAGCCGTCCTCGGGGAGCGCTTGACCTTTGTCCCGGCGGCCAAGAGCAACTCCGACTCCCCTTCTCGCAACAGTCACCTTGCTGAACATCCCCGGATTCATCGAGCGTCTGTGTAAGCTGGCCACCAGGAAAGTGTCGGAGGCCACGGGGGCCAACTTCCTGCAGGAGCTGGAGGAGTGGTACACGTGGCTGGACAGCGCTCTGGTGCTGGACGCGCTCATGCAGATGGCGACGGAGGAGGCCGAACAAAGCAGCACAGGCGAGGAGGCGCCCGGCTTGCGCTCCTTCACGCCGGCGTCCCTGCGACGAACCCGCCCGCAACGTTTTGTCTTCTCGCTCCTCAGAGTCGTCGGACGAAAGCTCCCTGGCCGCCAGCCCGCTGAGACATCGTCTGCACCCGTCGATGAAAATTGTCCATGAGATCATGTACAAAGTGGAGGTGCTCTACGTGCTGTGCGTGCTGCTCATGGGCCGGCAGAGGAACCAGGTGGGGCGTCTTTGTGCCTGTCGGCGGGCGCCGACAATGTCCCGCTGACCTCTTTGGTTTGCCTCCGGGCAGGTCCACAAGATGCTGGCCGAGTTTCGCCTCATCCCGGGTCTCAATAACCTGTTTGACAAGCTCATCTGGAGGAAATTGACGCTGTCAAACCACGTGGTGCACGGCCAGAATGAGAACTGCGACTGTAGTCCGGTACGGACTCCGGGAAAACGACGCACTTGTCGTTTCGCGAAAACCCAAGCCGTCTAACGCCGCGCCCTTGTCTTCTCTTTTTTTCCCACCCCGCAGGAAATCTCTTTCAAAATCCAGTTTTTGCGTCTCCTTCAAAGTTTCAGTGACCACCACGAGTAAGTCACCCTTCGATCCAGATGGGGCTCGGGTGGCTCCGCCTTTCGAACGGCGGCCCCGTCTAAAGCGCGCCGCTTGTCTCTCAGGAACAAGTACCTCCTGTTGAACAGCCAGGAGCTGAACGAGCTGAGCGCCATCTCCATGAAGGCCGACATTCCCGAGGTGGAGGCGCTGGTCAACACCGACAGAAGTCTCGTGTGCGACGGCAAAAAGGGCCTCCTCACGCGCCTCCTGGCTGTCATGAAGAAAGAGCCGCCAGACTCGTCCTTCAGGTCAGGCGGTATTCATTGATTGATTGATTTGATTTCTTTGGCTTTCAACTGACATATTTGTCTTCCTTGGCTCTAGATTCTGGCAGGCAAGGGCAGTGGAGAGTTTCCTGAGAGGAGCCACTTCCTACGCAGACCAAATGTTTCTCCTGAAGAGAGGACTGCTGGAGGTAATCGAACGCAGGCAGGCGTGTTTTTCACGCAACTGCCGAGCGTCATTGCAACAAACCTGTCATTCAATTCAAACGACTCGAACGGTGTCTGCCGGGTTTCCGTGTCAACGTCGGATTTGTAAATTGCAATGATACAAATGACTGCCATGTACCGGTCTTCCCTCCCGCGACAGCACATCCTCTTCTGCATCATAGACAGCGGCTGCACCTCCCGAGATGTTTTGCAGAGCTACTTCGATCTGCTCGGCGAGCTCATGAAGTTTAACATCGACGCCTTCAAAAGGTTCAATAAATACGTCAACACGCCGGAGAAGGTACGCTTGTAGCGACCCGACGAAGTTTGGCTCGACGTGGAGATGTCGACAAGGTTGTCTTTCTCCCGCGCAGTTCCAGACTTTCCTGACCCAGATCAACAGTTCTTTGGTCGACTCCAACATGTTGGTGCGCTGCATCGTGCTGTCCTTAGACCGATTTCAGAGCCAAACCGAGGACGTGAAAGGTAAATCCGACTCCCAAAATGTTTGAATTTGTTTTGCGCACGTGGTTGTTTTCCCGGTGCTTTTTCTTTCCATATTTGAAGGAATAAGCGGGCACGGGTGCCCAGCCTCCATGACCAGAATTCTATTTCGGCTCTCGATCAATTTTATGAATGGATCATGAATTCCCGACTCAACGCAACTCAACCGTGTTGACCCGGCCTATTGAAAACACTTTCCCCGACTGTCCTTTTTGGCTCGCTTTCGGTTCCTCACAAGTGGTGGAGGTGCTGTCGGAGTGCTGCCTGCTGTCCTACATGGCCAGAATGGAGAACCGACTGGCCTTCCTCTTCCGACTCGTCAACATCATCAACGTGCAGACGCTCACGCAGGTGCGACCCCCGCCGCGGCATTTTTGAAAAGCGATCGGATTTCGAGCCGCTCACTTGCGCCCGCGTGGCCCTTCTTTGCCCAGGAGAACGTGAGCTGTTTGAACACCAGTTTGGTCATCCTCATGCTGGCCCGCAGGAAGGCCAAATTGCCCTTCTACCTTAACGCCTTGCGTGAGAAGGAGTACGCCGAGAAGTACCCCGGCTGTCTGCTCAACAACTTCCGCAACCTGCTGCGCTTCTGGCAGTGTCACTACCTCAACAAGGACAAAGACAGCACCTGTCTGGAGAATGTGAGTCAAAGCATCCCGGAACATGACGTGAAGGTCGCGGACGCGTCCGCTACATGCGGCAAAAGAGCATAAAAGTTGGCGGCGGCTAGCGGTGGCTGCCTTCAACCGATACGTTAACCCCTGCAAAAGGTCGTGTTCAAGTGCCCCTAAAAATGCTGTTCGGCATTGTTGTGTTGGAACACTATTTCACGTCTGCTCTTGAAGCGACATCGGCTTGCTATTTTTACGAAAAGCCAGCCCAGCGCTCAGGGCCGAGCCCTAACGGCAAATCGCGTCGGTGAACAGAGCCTAACATAGTCTTGAGCCAGACGTGGGTCGCGGCGCTTTAGCGGAAACCAAAGGCCAACTGAGAAGACAGTGACTGCGGAGCGCTTGCCAGATGGGACGAAGCACCGCTTTGTGCAAATGTTGCTCTCAGCTGCTTTGCGGAGGGCTGACTGTTGGCTTTCAAGGTGAACTCAAGGCTGTGTTTTGACTTTTGCCGCTGCACCTTTCACAGACAGCCATGGGTGCCACATCATGTTTACACAACCCTACGCTGGTATTTTAGTTACTCATTCATTTCCTTTTTTTATTGGAGGTGCACTGACCCACTCGATCTCTTTTTACTTTCTGATTAGCGAGTGCGCGTGATGAAACGGCACGAAGGTCAAATCACGACTGTCTGTTAGATTTATGATATTGCTCAAAGAACACAACAAATAATGGAGACACGAACGGAAAGCCTTGCGTATTTTGAATACCACAAATACCAAATGGAAATTGTGAACGGCAACGAGTGCATTTTCGTGGACGCCGGACCCACCAAAATGTACTTTGGCGATATTTATGGTGGGACACCAATTCAGTTTCGATGATGAATTAATATTCCAGCCGGCATCGCATCACGACTCCAGATCAGCTCTTTCAAAAATGAGGAATCCGAAGCTCCCACCACCACCATACCGTATCTTGTCATCACAGATTGAAATAGTCTGGCCGATGAAATGCGCTCATGGTGTCTCCGTGAAGTGTGAAACGGTTCATCCCAGTGTGCGCTGCTAGTACATCTGTTGAGTGAAACTTTTTTTCTAGCAGCGCACAGCGCCCCCAAAAGGTGACCCCGTTGAAGGCCAAAGTTGAACTTTTGAGTTGCACAGCGTTTGGCTATTTCGTGTTCCGAAACGAGGACACCGCATCTCAGCGACGTGTATTGAGAAGAACGGGAAGATGAGAATATTTCCTAGAAGTGTTGGAAGATCGTTCTCGTTTTACTTTTGACGCTTGAATTCAAAAGGACAGTCCCAAGATCAGATTGATTTCCTCGTTTCCTTTTTCTGCACATGGATGATGACAATAGTCTTGACTAACTCGAAGCAGAGTATTTTTATATCCAAATCCATGTTTCCGTGTCTTTGTCCTGGAATGCGTTGTTTACCTTTGGCGGTTTTGTGACTTTTCCTGAATAGTATTTTGTCTCCTCAGAGCTCGTGTATCCCCTTCAGCTACTGGAAGGAGACGGTGTCGGTCTTACTCGGCTCAGACAGGACTTCTCTGTGCGCCATAGCCAGCTACATCGACGAGCCCTTTATGGATCTGGACCGAGATCTGCTGGAAGATTGACCGCGGGCGGGTGCACAGTGCGGTTTGCTTGGGAGAGCGAGCCCCGCGGTCGCGGTGTCACGCCTGCGCCCGACCTCGCTTTGGACTCCGCTGAGTTGAGCCGGCGGGGCGCCCGCCGGCTCGCCCGTTTGCATCGCCCCAACATTGAGGCCGAAACCCGGCTGCCGTCTCGTCTCCATAAAGGAAGCCCGGCCCCGCGCCATGGCGGTTTACGGACCTTGACGCCCGCGTTGATTGTTTGCTTTAAAAGAGCCTTTTTTTTAACATCGTCTTTACAAAATGTTCTGAAAAAGTTCCATTCAACAAGGAAAAAAAAAAATTGACTTTTCACCTCGAAATGGTGTCAAATGGCCGCCTTGACCCCCACCACCAGCCAGCTGCAACCTCTCGGTCCCCTCGGTACACCTGCGTGGCCTCTTGTCAGCGGGCAACATCTTCATTTCCTCTGCCTCTGGTTGCATCTTGTTGCCGGCCGCTGATTGGTGCCGACTGCCCTGACCAGCGCGTTTGGTTTGCAACAATCCGCCGTTCTGTCGAAGCTTCTTCGAGGGACTCTTTTTGTTTGTTTTGTTTAATTCATTGGCTTTTAGCTCTGGTTAAAATGTAGATTGAAATGTTGCACAGATGTTCTTATTGATTGTCACAAGACCCTTTTTGTTGATTAAAGATTTTCTTTGTTGGAACAAAATGTCTATGGTTGTTGTGAGAGGTGCTTTGGGGAGAAAAGAAACGATGCAGGCACTGTACTGCAGCCAGCCTTTTCTTTGGATGGCGTCGTCGCGGCCAAGATGGCTGGCTGGCTGGCCGCGCCGCACTTGTTGCGCGCGTTCTCTGCCGGCCACAAGCTGAAATGATAATCATTTGTAGGGTGCCACTTTGAGAGAGAAGCGATGTGCTGACGGGGTGCCCGGTCTGAATGTGCGGCCGTCTTGTCTCCGATCAATCGTGCACACGAAAGAAAAGTTCAAAAATGACTGAGCTAACCTCGTTACGTCCTTACGGAAAGAACAAATATGGACGGCTTGCCTCCCGGCCTCTCATGAGTCATGTGAATGGAAAGCGGCCTTTGTACAATTGCCCCCCCCCGTTGACTTCGGATGCCAGAACTCATCATCGACCTGTTTTATCCCGGTTGTAATCACTTGGCACGTCTTCAAATCAAATGTGATGCTTGGGTCAAGACTTGGAAGTCACTTAGTTCATCTTCTGTGCTTCATCTTTGACTTGGCGTCTTCCCGTTCACCACAATCGGAAGCCAGGTTGGCCGCGTACTTTGCAAACCTTGAGTACTGATCCGAAGGTGTCACCGGTTCCGTGTAGCTGCTTTGAAAATAGTTCAATTGTAAAACTCGCCACTTGGGTCCGCCCGAGAGCTCTTGAGATTGGATTTCTTTTACTGTCATTGCCCGTCTGCCGGATGGTTGTCTGCATTTGTTTTGACTCCTGTAATCTGATTGGCCATCAAGGTGTAGGAGGAATAAAAGTTTTAAAATAGAAACAAAGTCATGTCAATGTATTTTTGTATTTCACGCAGTGGATTTAGTTGATTTAATTGGGATGGATGGAATAATACCGGCGTAATGATTCAAATCGGTCCTCCTCCCACGCACTCAGGCCGCCGTTCTTTCACCCACGAGATGCCGGAGGCGTCCCGGGTCGGAATTGTATCTCCACATCGTGGAAAATGATATCTTTGAGTCACGCTGGTCGCGATGAAGAACGCGCACCCTAAAGTGCTCCTCTTGATGAGCAATCTCATCTGTTTGATGTTCAATGTTTTGACCTTCATTTTTCTTCCTTAATGTTCGATTGGCCAATAAAGATGAAAAGAAACTTTTCTGTAGGCTTTTATTGTGGGCTTCTGAGCTATTCACATTGACATTTTTCTCAAATCTTGATTTGATTGCTTGCCCGCCGTCCATCCGAGCTGTTGCAGCTGGCTGTCCGGGTGACGCCCACACGCGACCCCGTCATCACTCGGGAAGCTGAAACGGAAAAGTCGAGACTTTATTTCACACCCGTAGCTCATGCGTTGATACGCGTAGCTTTATCCAAGATGATTCCTAGAAATGTGCTCAAGTGACGCGATGGACCAACCTTTCCACCTTGGTCGCGTGTGCGGACGCGTAGCTTGTTGACTTGCGTTTCGGCCATGTCAGCCCTTTCCTCGGCATCGTCCAGCTCGTGCTGCAGCTTCCTGTACTTGGACAAGTTGGTGTTGGCTTGCTCCTCCTGAACGCAAGGAAACGCACGCCAGACATTCAACAACAACAGCATGCGTAAAATTATTTTCACATGCTAGCACTGTTATTTGGGCCACTTGTGAGGAAATGCCAAAAAGTGACTCCCAAATAAGTGCCTGACAAAGTGTAGTGTTCCTGGGATGGAGCCTTGGTGAACTACCACTATGATTATTACTTGTTTTAATAATTAAAAACGGCACTAGACTTAACCCTTGAGTCCTGGAGAAGCTTATCCACTCGACTTGATTATTGTAGCGGTCTTTGCACTGTACATTTTGTGAGCCATTTTAGTAACCTACTTTGATTTATTGACTTTGCTGTGAAACGTCTTAGACTCTTTTGTTTGCAAATGCAAAATTGTAATTCTGTGAGGCACACCGAGTTTCCTTGGCGCATTTTAGTAACCTACTTTGATTTATTGACTTTGCTCTGAAACGTCTTGGACTCTTTTGTTTGCAAATGCAAAATTGTAATTTCTGTGAGGCACACCGAGTTCCCTTGACACTCCATAAATCAAGTTGCCTTGGTGACCGCTAAAAGAGCATGCCGTCAACTCACCGCTTCCTCGGCCACTCTCTTGTAACTCTTCACTTTCATCTGCAGTTTGTCAATGAGGTCCTGCAGGCGGACGAGGCTCTTCTTGTCCTCCTCAACCTTTCCCCGACCCCCCGAAAACATTCCAAAGACAGTGTGACTATTTGGCTCTACACTAGGAATGGGAACGCAGGCACCCCCGATGTGTTTGCGCCGACATCCAAGTTTACCTGGTAGGAGAGCTCTTTGACTCTTCTCTCGTATTTGCGCACCGTCTTCTGTTGATCTTGGCTCTTCTTTTGCTCCGAATCCAGTTCACTTTCAAGTTCTTTCACCTACGAACAAACGAGGAGTCGCTTGGAGCAACCAAAGTCGTCCGGTGTGGAAACGTGTTCCGCTTTGGGAGTCGCAGCAACTGGAAAAGTGGCAGCACGTGGGCGCGAGCTCTCACCCTGGCCTCCAGCTTCTGGAGCTGCTTCTTGCCACCCTTGAGGGCGATCTGCTCGGCCTCATCCAGACGCATCTGGAGGTCTTTGATGGTCTGGTCCATGTTCCTCTTCATCCTCTCCAGATGGGCGCTGGTGTCTTGCTCCTTCTTCAGCTCCTCCGCCATCATGGCCGCCTACAACAGAGGCAGCACGAGTGTTAAAAAGGAGCTCGACGTCCAGCTCTGCTCTCGGCACTTCTCCGAGGCTTACATCGGTGATAGCCTTCTTGGCCTTCTCCTCTGCATTGCGGCACTCCTGCACGGCATCCTCCACCTCACCCGACAGCACGGAGAGGTCATTCTCCAGCTTCTTCTTTTGGTTGATCAGACCCGTGTTCTGGAGCAAAAGAGACCATCGTTTCAAAAAGGAAAAACACGCGCATGCCGGGCCGCGGTGGGCGCGCGCGGTTACCTGCGAGTGCAGCAGGTTGACTCTCTCGCTGGCTTCAAGCAGCTCGTTCTCGGCGAGTTTGCGGGCCCGGTCGTTCTGCTCCAGGAGAACCCTGAGCTCCTCCACCTCGGCGGTCAGCAGGTTGTTGCGCCGCTCGGTCATGGCCACCTGCTCCTTTAGCTCCTCGTTCTTGTGAACGGTGTCGTCCAGCTCCATTTGGACGTCCTGGCACAAGTCGGAGGAAGTCAGTCGCATTGGCGCCAAGTCACGCGTAAGTCACAAGTCGTCACTTCCGAGGTTCAAGCAACTGTGGCGAGATTAAAGCAAGTCGAGTCGTGTCCTTCGCTATCTTTAGTTTTGGATTGCTCAGTCGTAGAGTGGTTGGGGGTTCGATTCCTCTCCAATGTGACCGTCTCGAAGTTTCCTTGAGCAAGATACGGAGCCCCCGTCTATTACCTTCGGGTCTTGGCAATTCTACGCATAATCAGCGGAAGGTCGCCCGGTTAGCACACACGAAAGAAAAAGAACTTCTCTTAGGTCAAGAAAACACAAAGTAAGGCCTGGCGATGTGCGTCTATTATCACCTTAAGCTGAACCTGCACGGTTCTCAGGAGTTTCTGGGACTCGGAGGCCTGCCTGTTGGCGTGGTTCAGCTGCACCTCCATCTCATTCAGGTCTCCTTCCATCTTTTTCCTCAGGCGCACCGCCTCGCTGCGAGACCTGGCCTCGGCATCCAGGGTGGCCTGCATGGACTCCAATGCCCGCTGATGGTTACGGCTGCAAAGAGAGAGCAGAAGACCGTTTCAGAATGTTTGCAAATAGGCGCCGGGTTACGCGCCGGTGGCAGAGAGCTGAGCCCCCCCGTTGACCTGAACTGAAAGAATGTTGTGGACCTCAAAGGGTTGACCCATTTTGGCGATTTCCTTCAAAACATTCGGCGAATGCAATGGAACCCGTGGAGGATAAATCGAGTGGATGTGCTAAATGCAGAGGAGATCGACAAAGACTGCCTCGAGGCTACCGCTGAAGAATGAGAGACTCGGAACTAAACCGCCATCATCGAGTGTCTGGACGGCATTTTCTCGCAAAAATGTGACAAGGGAAGATGAGTAGGAGTAAATGCAATGCCAAAATCCAAGTAACAACAAAGTAAATTCATTAGCCAGTCCCTCAGTGATCGGTGTGAACCAGAGGTGTCAGTCTTGGAGGGAAGAGATGGAAAACGCGCGGGATAGCGGCCCCAAGGCCCCTAGTTTAACACCTGTGATCTTCCTCACCGTACCAAATGGGGAACGCTTTGGTCACCCGGAAGTACGTGCCACCTGACGGTCAAAAGTGCTCAATGTGATCACCATGATGGGATGGAGTCCAACGTACCGCAGGCTGTCAAGTTCTTCATCCTTTTCTGCCAACTTCCTGTCAATGTCAGCTTTGATCTGATTCAACTCGAGTTGGATCCTCAAGGTTTTGCTTTCTTCGTGCTCGAGCGCGCCCTGAGACACAAACACACGGTTCACTTTAGCTCACCTCCAGTCAGCAGACCCCAATGACATCCGTGCAGGTCAATTTTGAGCGCTATTCCGATGCACT